AAGGGGCCAGAGGGCACAGCCAGGAGGCATGGAGAACATTGGACAAAGGAGTCCCTCCTAGAACTAATCAGGTTGTCTAATCAAGGAATGTTCTCCAGCCCCAGGGAAGAGGGCTTTGTCAGTTTGACCAGTGGGGATTCAGAACTGCTTTGGACCAGAGACTGCTATTCGTCTTCAATTCTTCCCTTTCTTAGATAGATGTTTGTATTGAGATTATTCTTGCTCTACCATTGTATATTTTGTTTTTTTAGTTCATAAGGAATGTTATCAGAAGCTGACTGAGAGACTTGGAGCTGAATATAGTCACTGGATGGGGTTTGGGGTTATCTCCCTTGGGAGGGGATGTGTTCTGTGAGAAGAGCAAAAAAACAGGTATTTGGCTCAGGAAGACAGACTGAGGCAGACTGGGACACACAAAAATCTGTGTTTTCTTCTTCCTAAACCTATATTCAGGCTTCATGTCCCAGTAGGGTTGCCAGATTTAGCAAATAAAAATACAGGATGCCCAGTGAAATTTGAATTTCAGATAAACAACAAAGGATTTCTTAGTGTAGTATGTCCTGTGCAACATTTGGGACATAATTATACTGAAAAAATATTGTTTACCCCAAATTTAAATTTCACTGAGCATCCTGTATCTCACCTGGCAACCCTACTTCCCAGCCTCCCTTGCAGTTAGATGCGGTGTGTGACTAAGGTCTGGCCAGTTGCATGAAATGGAAGTGATGTGCATCTCTCCCAGGCCTGGCCTCTCAAAACCTCTCCCAGGCCTGGCCTCTCAAAACCTCTCCGAAAGCAGAGGACTTTGAGCATCTAGAGGAGGGGAGAGTCACAAAATGGAAGGAGCCTGGGTCCCAAATGACTGACAGGCCTCCCTCCTCAAACCTGCACTAGACCACGATGTAAACAAGAAAGAACTTGTATGATGAAGCCACTGAGTTTTCGAAGTTGTTGATTACAGCAGTTAGTCTATTTTGAATAATAGCCCTAATCCCTATAAATTCAATAGCTCTTCTCATCCTTTCCTTAACAGCCTTTGACCTTGGTAGCCATTTCTTTCTTTCTTTTTTTTTTTTTTAAGATTTTATTTATTTTTTTGACAGAGGGAGACACAGCAAGAGAGGGAACACAAGCAGGGGGAGTGGGAGAGGGAGAGAGAGAAGCAGGCTTCCCCCTGAGCAGGGAGCCCGATGCGGGGCTCGATCCCAGGACCCTGGGATCATGACCTGAGCCGAAGGCAGACGCTTAACGACTGAGCCACCCAGGCACCCCAGATACTATTTTTTTCTAGTGCTTTAATGATGATGATGATGAGGAGGAGGAGGAGGAGGAGGAGGAGGAGGAGGAGGAGGAAGACTAACCACCATTCACAAAGTTCTTACTATGGGCCAGGTGCTATGCTAAGTGCTTTATCTAGTATCTCATGTAATCCTCCTAACTACTCTGTGTGGTAGGTGCAATCACGCCCATTTTCAGGGTGAGAAAACAGGTGTAGAGAAGTTCAATCACTTGCCCAAGGTCTTACGGGCCCTCCTCCTCTCTCTACACTTTTCCTTTCGACAGTCCCATCTAATCACGGCTGCCCTAATGACCATGTGTTGTGTGGACGGCTCCCTGACCTCTCTCCTTGTCTCCACGTGCACATTTTCTGGCATAGGAATGTACTGATGGCATTGCAAACTTGTGCAGCTACTCCTGCGTCATGCTGTTCTAAATACTTTTCATTTAATTTCCACGACAATCCTGAGATAGACGTTATTCATATCTACAAGGGAGCCAGCGTTACCCACATTTCACAGACGAGTGAACTGTGGCTCAGAGATCCCGTACTGGCTCACGTTCATACATGAGTACACCGCAGCTCTCAATGACAATACCTCAGTTCCACTCAAACTGAGCTCTCCCTGCCCTGTGCTGCTGCCTGCTTCCTATACTCATTCTCTGCCCTTAACTTTCAAATCCTCCCCATCCTTCAGAGTCCAGTTCAAAGGCTATTTCCCCACCATGTCTGTTTGGGTATTCCAAGCTGGAAGGGATCTCCACCTTCCGTGAATTTACAGAGAACTTACGCTGTACCTCGCTTTTTTCTTGGTAAGCATACAAGCAAAACTTTAATCCCTCCTCATCATAAAAAGTTCAGGGAGATGGGCGCCTGGGTGGCTTAGTCGTTAAGCGTCTGCCTTCGGCTCAGGTCATGACCCCAGGGTTCTGGGATCGAGCCCCACGTCGCGCTCCCTGCTCGGCAGGAAGCCTGCTTCTCCCTCTCCCACTCCCCCTGCTTGTGTTCCCTCTCTCGCTGTGCCTCTCTCTGTCAAATAAATAAATAAAAGCTTTTAAAAAAAGTTCAAGGAGAGAGGTACAGAGCAAGAAGTTCTTATGGCCCTTCGGTCCCCAGAATTTACCAGTTTCTATTTTTTTTTAAGATTTTATTTATTTGAGAGACAGCACGAGTTGGGGGTGGAGCAGAGGGAGAGGGACAGACTTCCCACTGAGTGGGGAGCTGGATGCAGGGCTCGATCCCAGGACCCTGAGATCATGACCTGAGCCGAAGGCAGACGCTTAACTGACTGAGCCACCCAGCCGCCCCTACCAGTTTCTATCTTCATTAAAGTTTCTGTGTATCTGCTACCAACTCTATTAGACAATTATTTGAGTACAGAACATGTAGCGAGTCATCTTTAGTCCCTAAAATAGGCATTCATAAACAATTGTTGAAATAATCGATCGATTTCAAATCCTCTGAGCCTGCACACACTACATTTTTAGATGAAGGTGAGAAGGTCTGTTCAGGAAAAGAAGTGATTTTTTCCTCAAGAGGACTGGTAAAGACATGTCAAACACTCCCTCTCCTCCCACCTTCATTAAAGAACAAAAAAGCATCTACTTCTTAGGTGTATGAAGCGTCTGGTTTCTGTTTTAGCTGGGTCTCAGAAGGAAATGACTTTTCTCTGAAATTGTAGACGCCCAACCCAGCTGCAGCATTGTTAGGCCTCAGGGTAAACAGGAAGCTTCCTGCCTTGGCCCTTCATGTCCCTCTCCCTGACTATTAAAGACTGTTAATAGGATGGTAAAAGGACAGCTGCTGGCCATAAAATCAGCCCATTCCTTAGATCCTTGGAGAGTTGCAACTAGATCCCTCCAAGTTCAGAGAGAAAACTATGTCTGTCTCCAGGTCACACACCAGGTGCATCCACCTAGCTGGGGTCATCAGTTATCTCCTCTATGATTAGCTGTAACCATAATGGCCTTTGCAGAATACCAGAGTTTGGTTCCTTGGCATTAGTTGAGAAGGTGGGATTTCCATTGATAAGGTTTCTGGTCCTTGAAACTATTTGTTTCTGGGAGCGATCCGTCCTGATCATCCCCCAAAAAGAGGTAAAGAGGAGAATCCATGAGAGCAAAGGATCTAGTGCTCCTACCTCTGTGATGCAGGGCTGAAACAGGACCTCCAGTCTTCCTGCACACAGGGTAGAAGTCCCTGGATTTGCAGCTGTTGGTGAGGAGGGAGGGAACAGTTTCTGCCAACTGGAGGGACACTAGGGCAGGGGTTATCCTCTTTTGCCAAGAAGGGCACTCGGGTGTCTTGGCAGAAGGCAGAGGGCTGCCCCAATCTGTGTGTACATTTTCAGAAGCATTTGACTCTGGACCAAATGCTCTCAGCTGTGCTAAAGCTAGGGTGATGGATGGGAAAAGCTTATTGGCCAAGCTGACTAGAAGCTCCAACAGAGGGTGCTGGGGCTCAGCCAGGAGCTTCCCTTCAGCTGGCAAGTTCAGCTTTCTGTCATGGTCAGAGGGAGTGTGTCAAAATTCCAATTCTCAGTGCTCTCCAGAAGCTACGATTACCCCTCTATTTTGAGGTTTCTGCTTGTTGGAATTTTTGGCTCAAATAGGGAATGAGTGGTGAGGCTGCAGAGCCTCTTACCTCCGTCAAAGAATGAGCACAAATAGCTGAGCAGGAGTCAATGTTCTTACTACAAGTACAGTGATGGGCTCATAACCAAATGGGAGCCAGGAAGATACCATTTCATTCAACCTTGGACTTAGCCACAATTTATCAATTCATGCTGCCTTGTTGGCTCCTCTGACCCATGTCTACCAATCAAGCAAGCACAGGCACCTGGGCACAGCAGGAAAACCAGTCACCACTTTGACCGTTTACTTGCCTGGCACAGATTTACTTACACAGGACAGGAGCCTGATTTGCCACGTGTCACTGCTTTCCCTCATTCAAAGGAAAGGTCACTTAAGTTACTCCTCAGAGTTGCACCTGAAGAGGGAGATTTTCTTGAGTACTGAAAGCAGGAAAACTGGATACCTTCTCCTAAAATCATGTGTGAGCCTCTACATAAGTGTTTAGATTGGGATGATGCCATTGCTTATGGCAGCTCTTAAGATTTTCGAGCAGAAAGGGACCTACTAGATTATATGGCCCGCCCCCCTCGCCCCTCCCAGGAATATCATTTCCCCCAGTTTCAGAAGAGGTCACTAAGGCTGTGAAAACGCTCCCAAGGTCACACAGCTGGTAAGTGGGGTTTTACTGAGAGGACTAGAATCTGGGTCTCCTGGTTCTTTGTGCAATGTTTTTTTTTTTTAAGATTTTATTTATTTATTTGACAGAGAAAGACACAGCGAGAGAGGGAACACAAACGGGGAGTGGAAGAGGGAGAAGCAGACTCCCCGCTGAGCAGGGAGCCCAATGCGGAACTCGATCCCGGGACTCCAGGATCATGACCTGAGCCGAAGGCAGTCGCTTAACCAACTGAGCCACCCAGGCGCCCTGTGCAATGTTCTTTTTACCATGACTTTTTCCCTAAGTATTTTGTATTATTTTAAAAAATGTAATTCAGGGGCACCTGAGTAGCTCCGCCGGTTAAGTGTCTGACTCTTGATCTCAGTTCAGGTCTTGATCTCAGGGTCCTGAGTTCAAGTCCTGCCCACCGTGAAGCCTACAAACAAACAAACAAACAAACAAACAAACAAATAAATAAATAAATAAATCATTGCATGCATAACCAAAAGTTGTTTAATTTGTGTGTATCTTTGTAAGATTTTTCATATAAATAAATGAACAAATCATGAAAATAAACAGAAACAATCTCCCATTTAAAAAAGATGGTCCTCCTTTACTTACTGCCAGTACACTGTTCAGGCCTCCACCATCATGTGTGGACTATTACCAGCCTGTCAGCTAGAGCCTTTGATGAAACTGACATTGAAATACTTACATTGACATTGACATTTAAATACTTTACATTTAAGTTTACAACTGTCTCTTCTACGCTTGGTTGACGAGACAAATGCAACTGTACTTTAGACTTGGAGAGGAAGATTTCTTCACTTACAGAGAAAATAGGTACTAATCTAAAATTTGCCATAGCCAGGACCAGATGGGGCTTTCCAGTGGCTCACGCTTCTCCCATTCCTGACCAACCTTCAGAGAGACTGGAGGTTCCTAAAGGACAGAGCAAGGGTCTCAGGGCAGCACAGACAGTCCCAGTGTCTATCTGTACTTCCAGACCCCTGAGACTCCAGGTCATGTCCAAGGTAGGAAGTTGCAATGTAGGAGCAGTCCCAGGAGCCAGTAAGACAGGAAGTAGCCCAGAATGCATCGTGTGACTAGAGAATAGGTTTTCCAGTTGTATACAAGTCCCATGATAGAATTTCTGGGGATCTTTTGTCCTGGTAGGGAGTCCCCTGCAAGGGGCTTCCAAGGCACAGTCTCTAGGGATCTCAGCAGTGGCTCTTGATTCTGAAGCAAGTAAGCTGGAAACCAGTACACAATAGGAGTGGAGGAACCCAGAAACCTGGTGAGAACCTGGAAATCATAAGAGGGGGAAAAACCCACACATTTATTGGAATATCACTGCTTCACAGTGGACCAGCCCGGGGCTTCCCTGCTGCTGGGTCAACTACCGCCCCATGACTAGAAATGTGTTGTTCTGGATAAAAGATTCAGCAGAACTTAGGATCTGCCTTATAAAGAGCTGTGACACCAGCCAGGTGACCTCAATGTTACAAATAAGCAGAGCTACAGACTAATTACCACAGTAATGGGCCAATCAATACTAAAAACTACGGGGTCCAATTTGAGCCCAGGGCCTGGACTCTAACCGTTAGGCTGTGACACGGGGCTTTGGGAACCTGAAGGGGTTCCCTCATCCCCTGGGGATAGCAAAACAGAGGGAAACAGGGCAGGGGATCCTGTGGTTCAACATTTTCCCTCCTAGGGGAATTCAGAGCCAAGCCTCCACATGGCCTCCCTCCCTTTCGAAGCTGTGCTGGCACTCGCTCTACTAGTTAATCCACCTACAAACACAGAATGCTACTTTCTGTTTCCCCTGGGCCTCTTATTCACACAGCCCAGAGAACTTTACAAACAGCCAGTATGCGCCTCCCAGAGGCAGAAGCTGTTAAGGAGTGGCCAGCGTGGAGGAAACAACTTCCTCGGGGTTATGTGGGAACTAGGGTCGTAGCCAGGAATGAAAAAAATGGAAAGTATCAAAGGCTTCCCACCCCAAACATTACACAAGGGATCTCCTCTAAAGACTGGGCACCTGCCAGAGCTGAGAGTGCCTCAAGTCACCATCCAAGTAGACTCTCAGGGTAACCGTACAGTCGGGAAGGACCCGCGCTCTCCTCTTGTGCTTTAACTCCTTCATCTCAGTCACTTCAGGTCCTTCCACGACTCTCGTGTCTCTGCACGCACCCTTCATTTGCCCAGAATACTCTTCCTCTGCTTCTTAAATGCAATTCCTTCTTACTCTTTAGGACCCAGCCTTAATAGGACACCCTCCTCAAATCCTTCAGTCCATTAGCTACTTTTTCCTCCGGGTTTCCACAATACTTTATCTCAAAACAGCAATTCCTCTTCCATCCCACTGTACCAGAAGTTTATCTCTTAAGTGTCTGTCTCCCCATTTCTACCAAGAGACCCACCAGGGCAGCAATCTTGCCTCACTCATGTTCCGTTCCTCAGTGGTCTGACCCAGGGTCTGGACAAAGAAAGCCCCCAAATAGTTGGTGAATGAATAAATTAGGTACAGGTCACTCAAACGGGAGAAGCTAGCAGTGTTCCTCGACCCTGGCCAAGGGGTTTTGCCTGTATTCACACCCTTACCGCAGTCAGGAACCCACCTCACCTGAACATGCATGCACAGACTGCCAAACAGCAACAGCACTGCAGCGTGGACCAGGTACACAAACACCCGAGGGCCGAGGAATCCAGGGTCAGCTTTCTCTAGGGTCTTGCTCTTCTTGCTCCTGTGCATCCCAAGTGTAAGGCAGAGCCAAGGGTGGGTGGTCACATATGTCCATGTTGCCCAGGCAACCAGTATAGCCACTGGCGCAGCCAGTAAGAAATTGGGCACCTGCTTGAGCTCATAGTATCTCAAAAAGCCAACATTCCAGTAGATATCCTGGATATAGCTATATATTAGGGGAAGTTCCCAGGAGCACCAAGGTGGCTCATTTCCCTCCACAATCCGGTAGCCCTTGTCCACAGCTAACTTCAGCAAGGGCTCAGGGATGGGGCGCGCTGAGCCTGACAGACAGAACTGGGTATAGGCATAATACTGAAAGAGGGCAAAGGGAAGGCCAAGCGTGAACACAGACAGGAACACAGAGCCCATCAGCTTCAAGAGTGGTCTCAGAGGATTCAGCACCATGAGAGAGGACAGAAAGCCTTGGCACTGAGAATACACGAGAAAGCCAATGTTGACCAGCCCATTGGAGCGTACACCAGTGGCAAGGGCAAAGAGGAGTCCACTAGTCCAGCTTCGGCCCCTTTCCAGCTGCCCCATGGCGCTGAATGTCAGGAGGGCAAACAAAGCTTCTGAGTAACCAGCTGCCAGAAAGACATTGGCGGGGCTGAGGCAGAAGAGCAGGGCTCCATAAAAGGCCTGGCGGGGACAGCGCAAAACCAGACAGCCCAGGTCGTGAAGTGCGACAGCGGCCAGCATGGAGAACAAGGAATTGAGCAACGCTACTGAGATTAACAGGCGACTCCGTAGGTTCAGTAATGCCTGCAGGGGCCTCAGCAGTTCGGCTCCCACCAAGAGAGCCAGGGGGAAGCCAGGGAAGAAGGCAAAGTTGTGCTCATACAGATAGCCATGCTCGGCAATGAACAGGAAGTGTTCGGCATCCCAGTGAGACAGGCCACCCAGGAGACCTTCCACAAGTTGGTCCACAGAGCCTGAGGGGGCGAGGCGAGGAGGAGAGAAGGCTTCTGCACGATGATCAGGGATGATGGCATTGAAGAGAGCCTGTGGGATGAAGGAGAACTAGGATTTTGGTTGAGCAACTGGAAGGAAAGAATTACCATTTAATAAAATGAGGAAGAACAGACTTGTTGGAGGACAATTAGGAGTTCAGTTCTAGCCTAGTTAAGTTTGAGTTACATATTCCAGGGCAGAGGTCAACAAGGCAGTGAGACATAGGAGTCTGAGGGTCGGGAGAGTGATCAGGGCTGGAGACATAAATTCAGATGTCATAAGTGCACAGAAGGTATTTAAAGGCATGAGACTGAATGAGATCACCTGGGGAGGGATGAAGCAGGGCTAGAGAAAAGAGATCTGAGGATTTGGCCCTGGATGCGTCAACATTTAGAGGCTTGAAGGAGACTGAGGATCCAGAATGAAGATAGAGGGAACAGTCATTGAGGTATGAGGAAAACCAGGAGAGCAGGGTGTCTTAGAACCAGGTGAAGCAAGGGAGTGGTCAATTCTGCTACTAGGTCAAGGAAGATGGGGACTGAAAAGTGACCGCTGGATTTAGAAATGTATAGGTTACTTTACTGCCTCAGTAGTGAAGGCACAGAGGTGCAGACGTAGGCATGGGATATGGATGTGGGGGGAGCATGCACAAGGGCACTTCTGATTGGACCTAGTTTTCTGAGTTTTCGCTCAGGGAAACAAGTTGGGGAAAAGGTGTTAGGGGCTTGAATAAAAAGATAAACATGTAAAATAAGTCATCTATGACCCCTAGTTCTCAAAATAGGCTGTGCACTGGAATCACCCAGGGAGTTTCAAAAATACTGATGTCTAGATGTCTGGGTCCCTCCCCCAGGATTAATGATTTCACTGGTATGGGATACAGCCTGGGCATTGAGTTTTGTTTTGTTTTTTAAGCTCCCCCAGTGATTCTGATGTGCAGAACAATTTCAGAGAATGGCAGGGTGAATGGGCCAGGGCAGTAAGATCACCAGGTAGCACTAAAGACTCACTTGGGCCAAAGATCTTGAAGAGAAAGAGACCAGTCAATACAGCTGTGTGTTTCTCTCTGGGCACGATGCAGAAGTAGAGAGAGAACGAAACTGAACCGTGGCTGGGCTTCCGTCCTGTGACCAAGCCGGGGAGCAGGGAGCAAGCAAGTTGTGTGTGTGAGCCTGGTGGATCATGGAATCTAGCTGGGTAAGAAGGGGTGCGGAAGCCAGAAGGTGGGTGAGGCACAGTGAAACGGTGGGAGGATTGGTGGATTATAGGTCCTGAGTGGGTGGAAGAGCCGTTAGAACTGGGGTACTAGAGGGAGTGAGCTGGAAAGATAGGAGATAGTGGTTAGTTGTATCAGCTTTATTAATACTGAAACCACCAAGAGATCAACAGGAGTGCTGGAAAGCGCAACAGTGAATCAGGGGCTAAAACCTTTAAGGAGTGAAGAGGAATGAGCTGTCACTAACAGAGATGACAGCAACAGTGAAGGGTAACTGGGGAGATCATCTGATGGCATGAGCTTTAAAGCTGGAAGAAGGGTGGGGGAGAGAGAGGGATAATGAAATAGCATTATCATTAAATGTCTTTTTGCATCGTTAGATTGTCAGCTACTCAAAGGAAAAGAGACCGTGACTTTTCCTTCTCACCACCTAGCACAGTTCTTGGAACAGAGCAGGCACTTAACACAATCCTGGGTATGAGGAGAGGAGACATACTCATTTCCAAATCACTATCTGAATTAGTCTTGCTTCCCTATCCCAGATGCCAGTTCACAATCCTGCCCCCAGGGGCCTGCCAATCACTCATCTGATACTGTTCTAAGCCATCATTGGGTCAGTTTCCCCAGCCCCACAACCGGGGTATAAGCCCATTCTTAAGGCTCTTTCTCTTTTTGGTCAGTTTCTTTATCAGGCCACTTTAAACAGTGAAAACGAATGGGAAAGGAATGACAGTAACAGATAACAGCCCTAGTCTCCAAGCTGAAGCTACTTTTAACTAAACCTGGGGCCCAGCAGAGGCTGCTATGCCTCATCGTGCAGGAAGGGAGAAAGGAGGTTTCCAGAAAGGAAAAAGAGAACCCTGAGAAAATGGCATTTGTGGAAACAAGAGCACACGTAATTATGCTAATATAACACCACTAGACTGTTGACCCACATTCAACACCAACACATACTGAGAACATACTAAGCACTGGGCACTGTGCTAGGCATCAGACAGAATTCATATATATGGGAAATTTGATTAAAATATGTATCAAGAGGAGGCTTGGAGGGGAAAGGAAGCTGCAAAAGTGCAAATGCATTCTGAGGGTTGTGGTGGGTGAGGCAGCAAGGGGAGACACCTGGGGAAAGAGCTGGGGACACTGCTGACTAACCAAATACACTCAACTGACTGACTCCGTGCTCCGTCGCCTGGTAAGGGGACCCAGGGCAATGCCTTGGGCTGTCGTGCCCTAAAGGCATCTCTGGTTACAGAACCTCACGGTCCATTGGAAAGACCACTAGCTCAAGAGTTAGGAAGGCTGGGGTCTGATTCTGGCCCTTCTCTAACTTGCTGTGTGACTTTAGGGAAGCCATTGAACCTTTCTGGGCCTCTGCTGCTTCGTGTGTAAAACAAGGGATTAATAGACCATTTCTGGGCGCCTGGCTGGCTCAGTTGGTAGAGCACGCGACTCTTGATCTTGGGGTCGTGAAGTTCGAGCTCCACGCTGGGCATGGAGTTTACTAAAAAAAAAAACCATAGACCATTTCTAAGAGTGCTGCCCACCTTTTGGTTATCAGGTGTAGGTGTTCCAACCACATGGGAGGGCACACCTGGGAGGCAGAAAGAATATGGGGACGATTCTTAGTGCCTAGCCCAGTCATGTGGCAACAGCATGTTCAGGACAAAAGATCAGAGACTGACCTGCAGCACCAGAGTCAGGACACGGCAGCTGACTGCAAACCTCAGCACCTCTTTCCTGGACGGGTCCAGGGGCCACATCCTCTCACCACCGGGAATTCAGGGGTGTTGCTGCCTGGACTGAGCTCCCTCAGGCTTCTAAACTCCAAAACCCAAGGAGGAAACATCACACATGGGCCAAAAGTAAATATTGTTATTATTATTATATATATTTTTTTCCACAAAAGTAAATTCTTGAAAGCATTCTTCACAGGAGACTCCCCCTTCAGCATTACATGGCAAACTTAACTGCCTAACTGCCCAGATGAGAGAAAAGCATCTTGAAGGCAGATGGGACCACTTGGTGTCACTTTTTATTTTTTTATTTTTTTTTATTTTATCACTTGGTGTCACTTTGAAGCACTGTATTAAAGCACTATTCTGCACGGACAGGCATGAAGTTGGAAGCTAGGCTCACAGAAAATCTTCAAAAGCCTGTTGGGTACCCCTGTGCAGGAACTAAAGACCTGGGTTCAAGTCCTGACTCTGTCACTCACAAGTTCTCATTCAGTCCTTCTGAGGCTCAGTTCTTTAGGTATAAAATGGGATCAGACTGTTTTTTTTTTTTTTAAGACTATTTTCTCTCACAAAATTGTCATGATGGTGAAGTGGACGGAAGTGTGAAGAAGTACCACTAAATCCATGTTGTGGTTGCTATTATTCGGTGTGTGCCCTTTTCCTCTTGCCCAGAATAATAAACTAGATCCCAAACCAGAGTCCCAAAAGTGGGGCAGAGAACTCAACTGGAAGACCATAATGACTACACACTCTAGCCTAGCTCTCTGATGTGTGTTCAGCTGGTCTGTTAAATTAAGTGGAGAAGGAAAAGAAAACCACCACTCAGCAGGACTTCAGCCAGCTCACATTGCTAAAACAAACTGAGGGGGAAGACAGAGTTGACTACTAGGGATGGAGAAAACTGTTATTTCCCCATCTCTTTGTTGGAATGGCAGCAATGTATAAACAACTGCCATTCTGAGGCAAGGAATGAACTTTAAGGCTTTTTTTTTAACACAACTCTTGGGCTAAAAGAAGTAGCAATGGCTCCTAAAGAACATTCAAATACCAGTCTGGGAAATCAGAAGTGGGGGTAAGAGCACCAGAGGCAGTTCACTGATTTGGGGTCAACTATCCCTAAAGGAAAAAACATTTCAACTGAGAAATTAAGAGGGAGGGCTGAAGACTTTCTTATCTAATATCTACCAAACCTTTAGGTATCATTTGTTTCTGAAATTCTTCTCTGATGCTCACTAGACTATTTGATATGCTCTCATCGCACTCTGCTTCGTCGTCTTTACGGCTGTTGTTTATTTAAGTTGCTTTTGAGGGCAGGGGCTTTGTCTATCTTGCTCCCAACCCTGCAGGGCCTGGCATTACAGACAGGCATTTCAAGCCCGTGTTCTCACTGAGCAGAAGTGGCAAGAAAAAGATATGGCATCACCAGTTCACTGGCTCGGGATATAAAATCACTGCTATAAGTATTCCTCCCACCATATCTCATGTTAAGATCAAGACCTAAGTCACAGAAGCCACAGGAAAATACAGTTTCTCCAGCAAGGGAGCAAGATTGGCCAATAGCAACAGTACACCTTCCTCAGCACAAGGGGGCGCCTGCTGCTCACTCCATCACCAGGAGGCCCGGAGGAAGGGAGGGGCCGTCAACGCCACACCGGTTTGCTCATCAAAATTCAGTTCAAAGGCAAGCTTTTGAAAACCCCAGAGAGCCGCGGTAGTTTGTGAATCCACCCAACATTTCCAGCATCTGACTCGCGGAATCGAGAGGAATTGCAGAAACAAGTATGGCCAACCTCACACGGCCCCTGATTCTCTAGCCTAGGGTGAATTCACTTTTCCCCTTCACTTCCCACCCACATGCAGAAGAAATGTTGGGGACAGAAAAGCACTTAACCCACCTCTGCCTCTTCACCGGGCTTCCATTCTTCCTTTCCTCTCTCCAGAGTCAAGCTCTAGCCCCAGCGACCACAGGAGACTTGTAACCTACACTTAGCTTACAGGTAAACCAAGTAAAAATAAAATAAAGCCAGTGAGTTGTCCCTCTCGGCTAGTTGAAGACCTCACTTCCCAATAACGCCTTTGCGAAATCACAGACTCTTGAAATGGCAGGACACTTAGAGCAACTAGTTTTACTCTATTTTCCCGTGAGATAAATATGCCCAGAGTGGTGAGTAATAAAAATCTCCATGGTTTTTACATCCGAGATCTCATTAGACCCTGTGAGGCCAGTATAATTACCATCGCCATTTTATGGATGTGGAAACTGAGGCTCATTGGGGTCAAGTGACACACCCTAGGCTGTATTTAAAGAGAATGTCATCTTTTACCCTTCTGGAACCTCATGGTCTTCCCACCGGCCCTCAACAGGGCCAAAGGGGATGTGCTCTTTCAGAGCCAGGGTAACAACCCAGGACTCCCAACTCCTAGCCCAATACTTGTCCAAAGACAGCGCATGCTCTTACTGGGTATGCTTAGGAAAGGGAGGGCCCTAGCTGAGACTCTGGGGAAGCCTGAATTGGAGCCCTGGACCCTTGGAGTAAGACAGCGTCCTCTGCAGAGTGGGGAAGTCTCCGTGACCCAGGGTCCTCGGGGCCAGAGGCGCTGCTGGCTGTCGCGAGCCAGGGACCGCCTTCTGCCACCCCAGCCGAGTCCGAAGCCCATTCTAACCCTTTCCTTTCGGACACAGTCCCAAACGGGCCGTGGGCACCTCCTCTCCCCAAAGGGGCCACGGCGCAGGGGTTACTCCCGAGGCGGCCGGCGGGGCCCGGCCCGACCCGGCCTATGGCCGGAAGGCAGGGGAGGGCCGGAGGCTGTAAAGGAAGTGGCGGCACCGGGAGGCCGCTATGGCGGAGGGGCGGGGCTCCCCGGTTCTCGGCGGCCTTCGCCTCATTTCCCTCGGCCTCCGTTTGACGACCTCCCTCCCCCCGAAAACTCCAAGGCTCCGGAGCTGGCGCCGGGTCCACAGCGCCGGCCCGTCTCGACCTCCCAGGCGGGGCCCGAACCTCAGCTCCTCCATCCGGGGACCCCGAGCGGCCCGCGCCTGCGCACCGGCTCCGCCGAGGCGGCCCCGCCCCCCTCCTGCCCGGACTCGGAGGTGCCCCGCCCCCCTCCGCGGCGGCCATGTTGACTCCGGGCGCGCGCGGGGCGGGGACGGCGTAGCCCCAAGACTCCGTGCCCTCCGCCTTGGCACCTTCCCGCCTTGGTGACACCTGAAGAGTTCCCTTTGGCGCTTCGCGCGCCTCAGGTCCCCTCCCTGCCTTCAGTTAGCCCATCCGTGCTGCTGTGGCAGAGTTGGCGCTCTCGCCCGGGTTGCATCCCGCAAACGTCCACTGAGTTCCCGATGTGTGTATGCGGAGGAGGCTCTCGGAGTTGGGAGTCGCCCCGCGGCCTCTTCGCAGAAGCCAGAGCCGCACTTTCCCTGCTCTGAGGCATCAACCGCTCAGCACAGGGCCTGGCACACAATAGATGGTCTCTGAAGAGAAAGGGGAGCCTTGGGGTTTCTGTGGCTAGCAGTGGCGCCCGGAGTCCTGGGTGTGAGCAAAGTGGGGGATCCCCCTGCCTTTCCCCTCCTCCAGATACCGGGAACCTCGTGTCCGACTTCGATCCTCAGCTCCACCTCAGGTGGCTGATGAGGACGGTGCCGAGAAGGCCCCCCAGGACTCTTCTTCCTCATTCAAGCAGTTGCTCTCGTGGGAAGTGGGGCCAAAAAAGAAGCAGCAGCAGCAGCTAACTCAACAAAACCGGCTGTTAGGGAGGAGCGGCCAGTGGGTACCCCTGTAACGGAAACTGTTAGAACAACTTTGCACCCTCCTTCAAGGAAATAGATAATAAATCCTTCTCCGTTGGTGGATTTCTTGTTTCTCAGGATTCCAAAGCCGCCTGTGGTTTCAGTTATCGGCCCTCTAAACGGAGCTGGGGTCTGGGTTAGCCTCTGGCCACAGACCTGGACAGGGAGGGGTTTATCTTCTGCCACAGCTACTAGTGTGGGTGGGAACAAAGGGATGGTGCTATCTCTCCAGGCAAAGAAGACTAGCCTACATCAGTTCTGTGGGGGCCAGGCTCTGCACTTTTAAATTCTAACTCATTTCAGGCTCTGACACCTAAGCTGCCCAAGATACTGTTGTGTGTAAGGTGGATAAAGTAGCAATCACATGTTAGTCCTGAGTTGGAGAAGGGAACAAAAATGGAGAAGACTCTTCCCCAGTTTTTTCAGTGACACACACTTACTCTCAGCTCCAGAAGCCTGTCAGTGAATTGGCAAAGCTGTGGTGCACACTCGTGACTGGGGCCTGAAGTTGTGGCTTGAATCTCTAGAAGTCCATGAGGCTCCCAGCAGCACTCTGTTTGCAAAGACAAAACCGAGCAATGAACTGTACTTGCTTTGTGAATTCACAAGGGAAAAAGACATGCATTCTTAAGGTTTCCTCCATCCACACCAAATTCCCTCAAAAATCTGTATGTAAAAAGGACAGGGGTCTCTTGTGACAAGTCAGAATGTTTCCTAACAGCTCAACTGTCACCCATTAGAGGTAGAACTTTGTCCAGATCTTCAGCTCTACTTTCCAGCAATTTCTCCTTCCTTTCCTTCTCTGCTACCCACCCCCCTCCTCTTCCGCTCTGTTTCCTGTTTCATTTTCTGGCTCCTGCTCTGACAGGAAAACAAGAAAGCTGAACCTTGTGCTCTCAAAGCCCTGGCTTGTCAGAATGGAGGAAGACTAGGTGGGATGGGAGGGGGTTCTAGAAAGGCCTCCAAGACTGCGGGCAAGTAATTGAGGAGGCAGCTCTCTCCAGTCTGCTTTTAGAGTCTGCAGCTAAAATGGAGCCTGCATCTACACAGGGAGCCAGCTGAGCAACCAGCACGGTGGGAGAGCCAGGCAGACAGACATATCCAAGGGCTCCAGAACGACTCTATACCACCCGGTCACTTCCATTAAGAAGCAAATATCCCATACCACCAACAAATGATTTCATAATACAAATTTCTGACCTAAACAATACAAGCAATGCATCACTGTTTCTAGAATCCTAGAAGGTAAGAGAGTTACAGCATTTCTGTTTCTTGAACTTGCCTGGCTCTGTTCTCGCTGCTTCCCCTGCTTGAAATGCCTCACTGCCCGACCACCCTTTGGCCAGCCCACTACCTTCAGGTCTCAGCTGAAAGGTGGCCTCCTCAGAGAGGCTTTTTCCCACTACCCAGCCACATCCAGCACCCTGTACTATCCCATCACCCTGTTCTGTTATCTCCATAGCACCTATCACCACCTGATTGTCCTGTCTATGAATTTTACTGCTTTCATTGTCTGTTCCCCTCTTTTGGAATATAAGCTTGTGAGAGCAGGGGCCACGTTCACCAAAGTATTACCACTACTTAGAACAGTGCTTTGCACATTGTGTGTACTCAGTAAAGATTTGGTTGATAAATCAGTTTGTTGGCCCTGATACCTCTATTTTATGGATGTGGGAACGAGGCTCAGAAAAGGGAAGTGGCTAGCCTGAAGTTACATAGCTGGTGGCTAAGGCGAGACTTGAATTCAGATCTCCAGGCTGGTTTTTCTTTCCTGCCACTCGACACTATTTTAAACTTTCTCAGGTTTACCTCTTTCCCTCTCTTCCTTTTGTTCCACACAACTAAGAATCTGCACAGGCTATGCCAAGAACCCTGCATAGTGCACACCGCGTCTTAACAGCTCCTATCTACTCTTTCCTCTACTAAATTCCCATCTTACTCCACAAAATAGGAGTGCCTACCCTGTGACAGGGGATGAGGATGTAGCACTGAACAAGACGGACGCAGTCCTTGTCCTCATGGAGATGACAGTAATATCTACCTCATGGATTCTATAGCGCTTGGCCCAAAGTGCTCACTGAAGACGGGCTGTTGTAATTCCCTGAATTCCAACAAGGGGGGAAGAGCGATGTTCCCACTGGAGGTGTGAAGAAGGAAGTTCGGTAGTTCTCATGGAGCATTCACCATGCTGGAGCAACCTGACAACTCGTTTCTTTCTGTAGCACCTTGCTTGGCTCCAGGTACCGTATCCAAAGGTGGCTTTGGCTGCAGACCGGGCAGAGGAACAGACCAGTGTGTGCATTCTCAGTAATTCAGTTTCAGACACTAGACTTTCCATGGCCCCAGCCCTATGGGAATGATGGAATAGCTGACCCTCATCTTGGCTTTGAGGCCACGCCGTTATGGGACAAAAGTGACCACATTGGCTCCTGATTCTGTTACTGCCAACTTAGCAGGCAGGGGCTAATGCCTGTGATGACAGGCAGAACTTTACACTCCATCTTGTCTCTGTGGGCACTCACTGGCAGTTTCCAAGGATGCTGGGTGACATTCACGTCCGTCCTGAAATCGGGGGTGGCACCAGTCAGGTTTTGGACATTCCGTTTGGCCTCTGTTTTTTTTTTTTTTTAAAGATTTTATTTATTTATTTGAGAGAGAGAATGAGATAGAGAGAGCATGAGAGGGGGGAGGGTCAGAGGGAGAAGCAGACTCCCCGCCGAGCAGGGAGCCCGATGCGGGACTCGATCCCGGGACTCCAGGATCGTGACCTGAGCTGAAGGCAGTTGCTTAACCAACTGAGCCACCCAGGCGCCCCCCATTTGGCCTCTGTTGTATCATTTGAAGGTGTCCATCCACCGCGGGACACCCCACCCTGCCTCTCAATTGCAGGAGCCAAACACTGATCCTTTAGAGGCCGCAGACACTAAATATTTTTCACCCTTCGTTCGGTGTTTGCCTTTCAGTACTTAGAAAACCTTGACCCGACTGCGGCCTAGTGGGAAGGGCCTTAGCCACTTGGGGGTGGCAGTGGCTACAAGGCAAAAGAGCCAATGAGGTTGAGAGCATTGTTTAGGCCAGACTTGGCAGCTCTCCAGCTATGAAAGAAGGTTAAGGTCATTTGGGGGGGGGGGGGGCGGGGAGGAGGAGCCTGGGAAAAGAACTACTGGCCACACCCCTGGGTTCTCTACTGGCGAGGTTCTATTTACTTCTCAAAAGCAAATTACTCACAGCTCAGTGGCTAGCAGTTCTCTCAGCCTGTGGTAACTCCAGTCGGAAACTGGAGACCAGGCTAGGCTCCCCCTGCATTGCAGGGGAGCAGATGAAAGGAACCCAGGAAACCAAACTCCTAGGTAATGCTCCACACATAGCCCAGAAATGCACTTTCTACACTAGAAAATGGAGTTCAAGAGGCCCGGTACAAAACATAGCCATTAGCAACACAGCTCACCAAAATATAGATATGAAAAGTTTCCCGTGTCGTTTTTTTTTCCAGAAGAGTCCTAGGAAGGCATCTCCGTTGACGAAGGTGAGCCATTGTCTCTACCTCCCTCCCCCTCAATCAATAGAGGAATACTGATTATTCGTTCCTGTCCCTGACCCAAATATTAACAAGCACACTTAGCTCGATGAACACTTGGTTGAAATTCTTGGGACAATTGTTACCTTATGCTGAGTACGACAAAAACAAATCTTGCCTGCTGAGCTCCGCAGCTAGCTTCAGTTACTCCTGGGGTCCTCTGCCCCGGGGAGGAGGGCCGCAGCTGTGGGACCCCACTTGGACATTCTTTCCTGCCACTCGACCCTATTTTAAACTTTCTCAGGTTTACCTCTTTCCCTCTCTTCCTTCTGTTCCACACAACTAAGAATCTGCACAGGCTATGCCAAGAACCCTGGGGGTGGGTGTGCTCAAACCGCTTTCCTCAGCTGTAAAATGGGAGCCAGAATACTGACTTGCAGGCACAATCCTTGCAGGATTGATTACTTGATGGGCCACGTCTGGTACACAAGTAGGTACGCACTAGGAAACTGAGGTTTCGAGTGTCCACAACAATGGCGTTTTCTCCGCTACTGCTTCTGGTCTCTCCGCTGTTTCCCCAAGGAAGGAGATGAACAGAGACGCTGTATATGGCAACATTCGCCTCACAAAAGTAACTGCATCTGGCCAACATCTACAGTTTCATTCAACAACTCCTTAAGTGGTCACCCTGT